AATCACGTTATCCCATCAAACCATTCCCTCCATAAACTTATCTAGCCTCATCTTGAAGCCAGAGAGGTCTTTTGCCCCCACCGTTTCCCTCGGAAGGCCGTTCCAAAATTTCACCCCTCTGACGGTCAGAAACCTTTGTCTAATTTCAAGCCTAAACTTCCCCACGGCCAGTTTATATCCATTCGTTCTCGTGTCCACATTAGTACTGAGCTGAAATAATTCCTCTCCCTCCCTGGTATTTATCCCTCTGATATATTTAAAGAGAGCAATCATATCTCCCCATAGCCTTCTTTTGGTTAGGCTAAACAAACCAAGCTCCTCGAGTCTCCTTTCATAGGAAAGGTTTTCCATTCCTCGGATCATCCTAGTGGCCCTTCTCTGTACCCGTTCCAGTTTGAGTTCATCCTTTTTAAACATAGGAGACCAGAACTGCACACAGCACTCCAAATGAGGTCTCACCAGCGCCTTGTATAACGGAAGCAGCACCTCCTTGTCCCTACTAGAAGTACCTCGCCGAATACATCCCAAGATCGCATTAGCTTTTTTAACGGCCACGTTACATTGCCGACTCATAGTCATCCTGCGGTCAACCAGGACTCCGAGGTCCTTCTCCTCCTCCGTCACTTCCAACCGATGCGTCCCCAGCTTATAACTAAAATTCTTGTTAGTCATCCCTAAATGCATCACCTTACACTTCTCACTATTAAATTTCATCCTATTACTATTACTCCAATTTACAAGGTCATCCAAGTCTCCCTGCAGGATATCCCGATCCTTCTCCGAATTGACAATACCTCCCAACTTTGTGTCATCCGCAAACTTTATCAGCCCGCTCCTACATTCGGTTCTGAGGTCAGTAATAAATAGATTAAATAAATTCGGACCCAAAACCGAACCTTGAGGAACCCCACTGGCGACCTCCCTCCAACCTGACAGTTCTCCTTTCAGTACTACCCGCTGCAGTCTCCCCTTTAACCAGTTCTTTATCCACCTCTGGATTTTCCTATCGATTCCCATCTTTTCCAATTTAACCAATAATTCCTCATGCGGTACCGTATCAAACGCTTTACTAAAATCGAGGTGTATTAGATCCACCGCATTTCCTTTATCTAGAAGGTCTGTTACTTTGTCAAAGAAGGAGATCAGGTTGGTTTGGCACGATCTGCCTTTCGTAAACCCATGTTGTAATTTGTCCCAATTGCCATTCACCTCAAGGTCCTTAACTACTTTCTCCCTCAAAATTTTTTCCAAGACCTTGCATACTACAGATGTTAAACTAACAGGCCTGTAGTTACCCAGGTCACTTTTTTTCCCTTTCTTGAAAATAGGAACCACATTAGCTATTTTCCAGTCCAATGGCACCACCCTGGAGTTTACAGATTCATAAAAAATTATTGCTAAGGGGCTCGCAATTTCTCGTGCCAGTTCCTTCAATATTCTAGGATGAAGATCATCCAGTCCGCCCGATTTAGTCCAGTTTAGCTGTTCAAGTTTGGCTTCCACCTCTGATACGGTAATGTCAACCCCCCCTCCTATATTCCCCTCTGTCCTGCTGCCTCTATTCCTAAGCCCTTCATTAGCCTTATTAAAGACCGATGCAAAATATTCATTTAGATATTGTGCCATGCCTAGATTATCCTTAATCTCCACTCCATCTACATTCTTCAGCGGTCCCACTTCCTCTTTCTTTGTTTTCTTCCTATGTATATGGCTATAAAACCTCTTAGTATTGGTTTTAATTCCCCTTGCAAGGTCCAACTCTACACGGCTTTTGGCCTTTCTCACTGCATCTCTACATGCTCTGACCTCAATAAGGTAGGTTTCCTTGCCGATCCCTCCCCTCTTCCATTCTTTGTACGCTTTCTGCTTTTTCTTAATCGCCCCTTTGAGACGCTCGCTCATCCAGCTAGGTCTAAATCTCCTGCCTACTAACCGTTTTCCCTTTCTCGGGATACAGGCCTCGGACAGCTCGTGCAACTTCAACTTGAAATAATCTCACGCGCCATCTGCCTTTAGATCCCTAAATATGCGTGCCCAATCCACTTCCCTAAGTAGTCCCCTTAATTTATTAAAGTTGGCCTTTTTGAAATCGTAAACCTTAGTCACAGTTTTAATTCTGTTAATCCTTCCATTTAGTTTAAACTGAATCAGCTCATGGTCACTCGAGCCAAGGTTATCCCCTACAACCATTTCCTCAACGAGGTCCTCACTACTCACCAGCACCAAATCTAAAATGGCATCCCCCCTCGTCGGTTCTGCGACTACTTGATGAAGGAAATCATCTGCTAGCACATCTAGGAACATCTGAGCCCTATTATTGTTACTAGCATTTGTTCCCCAATCTATATCTGGGAAGTTAAAGTCCCCCATGATTACACAGTTCTTATTAGTTTTTACTTCTGTAAAAACATTAAATAGTTCTCTGTCCGCATCCAGGCTAGATCCTGGTGGTCTATAGCACACCCCAAGCACTATCCCAGGGGAGGCTCTAGTAGTTCTTTTATCCAGTGTGAGTATTGCCCAGACAGACTCTGTCTTATCCATTCCATCAGTTATTATTTCTTTACAGTTTACCTCATTATTGACATACAATGCCACTCCCCCACCTTTACCTTTGTTCCGGTCATTCCTAAACAGCACATAGCCTTCCATACCTGTACTCCAGTCATGACTACTGTTCCACCACGTTTCAGTTATTCCTATGATATCTGGTTTCATTTCTTGGACCAGGAGCTCCAATTCCTCCATTTTGTTACCTAGGCTTCTCGCATTGGTGTATAAACATCTTACTGTATGCTGTTTATCCTTTCTCCCATGAGTTATGCAATTTGGTATGGACCCCGTACTGTCCATCCGCCCCCTCCTTCTTATGTCCAATCCCCTACCCCTACCTATATCTGTGCTTATCTCTTCACCCTCTTTTTCAGTGTTGGAATCTGGTGTGGAGATTAACTGGACATCTCCCAACCGTCTCCCCCAAATTCCTAGTTTAAAGCCCTTTTGATGAGATGAGCCAGCCTCCCTCCCAGAAGTCTATTTCCTTCCCTACTCAGGTGAAGTCCATCCCGTGAGAACAGCTGTCTGTCCCCAAAAGCCTCCCAGTGGCCATACATCCCAAAGCCCTCCTTATAGCACCACTCCCTTAGCCAGCTATTTATCCTCACAATTCTGTCAGCCCTTTGCTGTCCTTCTCTAGGAACAGGCAGAATCCTGCTGAAGATAATCTGAGCCTCGACTTCCTTAAGTGTCTTCCCCAGTCTGGCATAATCTCCCTTGATTCTCTCTAGGGAGAACCTAGCCGTGTCATTAGTTCCTACGTGAAGGATGATCAAGGGGTTCTTTCCCGCTCCTTTTAGGATCCTTTTCAACCGCAGGTCCACATCCCGTATCTTAGTGCCTGGCAGACAGCACACCTTTCTGTTTTCTGGGTCTGCCCTGGTCACAGGCTTGTCTAACCTCCTCAGTAAGGAGTCCCCAATCACATAAACCTGCCTATACCTGGTGACAGCGCGATCTACTAATCTGGTCCCTGTAGTTGCAACTCCTGTCTGTTTCTATTTTCCCTTATAGTCCCCCTAGTGCCATCCTGTATCCTCCCGGGGGCCCAGTATTGATGCTGTCTCCATCAACTCCTCCCCTCTCTCTATTGGACTAGCCGCTCTTCTCTTCTTCCTCTCCCTCCCACCATCAGTTACCACCTGCCGCCTCCCCTCCTCGTTATCCAAACACCCAAACCTGTTCCTGAGTTCTATTTCCCCCTCACTAGCCCTCCTTTTCCTTGGCCTGCTTCTCATGGTCAGAAGCTTCCTCTGCTCTTGTTCTCCCCCCGACATTCCCCCCTCACAGACCATAGCCCCCGCTTCCACCTGCACCCCTGAGCATTCCCCTTCAGCCACTCCCTGCCTTTGCTCCAGTAGCTGCTCGAATCCCCTTTTAAACTCTACCAGGGTATCTACCTTCATACAGACATACCTCTGTTCAGGTGCCCCTGCTAGAACCAAGTACATACTGCAGCTGCCACATGCAATCATCTGCATTGTGTCCCCTGCTGCTTGGCCCATGGCAGCTGTGGTCTCTGCTTGCTGCTTCTGGGGAAACAGAGCACACTGGAAACCGTGCCCTCCTGCCTCCCCTTCCAGCTCCCCCTGCAAACTCCCACTTAAACTCCCCTGTTAGCAGCCCTGTTTGCCAGCTCCTGGGTGCCGCTGCTCGCTGCTTGTGCCGCTGCTTGGCTGGGTGGCCGCTTGTATAGGCCCCCTAATCAGCCAAGCTCCACCCCCTAATCGGGTTCAGGTTCAAGGATAGAGTGCTCTAGTGCCTAGGTAAACTGGGTCTCCAAGGGAGTTTCTTTAGAGGGGAAATGTTTTCCTGAGAGCAAAGCAAAAATCCATAGTCCTTTCTTTGCTCTTAAGAAAAGAGACAGCTGTTGTCTCGGGCCCCCCTGTACTTTGTTACTGCCAAGTCTGGGAGTTTGGAAGAATAAACTCCCATTTGTCAAACTTTCTGCAATGGGTTCAGGCCAAACACTTCTGAAACCATACTAATTTTAGGGGGTTTGGGTCTGGAGTTTTGGTTTAGTCCTGTCAAAAGAGCAGCCTCTGGTGTGCAGCCCTAAATGAGAGAGTGGAGTGGGGACGTTGCCACCTGACCTATTCCTGATGTCTGTGTATAGGATGAAGAACTGGGCAGCTATCTTACCTCCCTCTTGAAAAAGGGACTGCCCCAAACTACAGCTTGAGTGACGCGGCAACGGGGAAAATGGAACTTCAGAAGCCTTCCAAGTTTACCTCTGTGTTTTATATTATCCAGACCATGTAAATACTTAAGTTGTTTTTTTAAATAAAGAAAAAGTCTATTGTAAAATATCCTGCAGCAGAGAGTATTAAACTATTCAGACAAAATCTTGCTTTAGCGGCGCTGCTATCCCCCACTGGCAAAGTCGGTCACAAATATCACTTACTGGGCAAGCTGTTTGTATCAAGTTTCCTGGAGCAGCTTCGACAGGTGTTCCTTGTAGAGCAAGGTAAGAGATTTTCAAAGTCTTTCCATTCACATTTATTTTTGTAATATTAAAAAGAACCTTCTGATGCCAGCACTTTGCTTTTTCCACATACATAAGTACAGCACAGGAAGATGCTCCTCTCAACAGCGTTTTCATTCACTCGGCCCCCTTTGAAGCTTGTGAACAAAATGATTCAATTATTTTGTTGCTGCTGCATTGAACGTAAGGTCAGCTGTCTGCTTTAACAGTACAGAACACTGATAAGGGGTTAGGGATTAAAACTAAGCAGAATATTTAAGCGGTTACTTATCCATTACCGCATATGCATACACGGCTGTGAACAATAGCTGAGAAGCCTGAACTCAAGCTGAGGTTCTGTACTCCCCAGGGGGCCTCTTATTGAGAGGAAGAACATCCCTCAGATATAAAGCAAAGCTAACTTTCACAGTGTTCAGCAAAGAAAGGGACAACATGGAGGTGCTTGGCTATTCCCATTTTCTAGATTGGCACATCATTGAATATCTGCCCATGGCCTGCAAAGCAACTGGATTAGAACCTAGCCCTCTGAGTCCCAGTCCTTTGTGCTAGACACTTGACCAGTCTGTCTCAATAGCAGTTAAAGGATACCGATGATGAAATGACTGTCAAGTAGTCGGTATACCAAACCGTACTGGTGCAGGTCCATTAGTTTGGATAATTCATATATAATTTGTCAACTATTAATAAATCAAATATTTCATACTATACACAAAGACTGAAATTGTTCTTATTCTACTAAGAGATTTTAAATAGCAGAAAGCCAGCTGCTCCATTTACTTTGGAAACCAGCCTATAATGTCACCGCTTTCCAAACAAAGGATGTTTTTTGTACTGCCTAATTAATAACTAACACTGAAGTGGAAATATTGTCATACATTCTTGACGCTCTTCAGTTTTCAGAGCTGTTGATCCCAACTAAAGTCCTATTTATACACAACACAGGCATCTCTGCTAATGTGTTGTGTCTTTTATCTTCATTTTGTCTGCTGAGCCCACCCTTGCCAATTAAGACTTTTGGAGGGGGCGAGGGTCGTAACAGACTCTAGTCTCCTAGGAAGTGGACTGACCACCAGTAAATTCAATTCATAGTCCCTGCCCTAAAGAGTATGTGTATACAGCACCTGATCTCACCTGAATACTCCTCCTCCTCCTCAAAGTTCGGTTGGATTTGAACCCATAACCTATGGGTGAATAACTTACTGACCTTGTTTTAAAAAAGGCAATTCATTCAATTGCTGTGTTGGTGGTCGTCTTGTTGGCTTGCTTTTATAAGGCTAGTCATTGAATTTTCTGTCACAAATGGTATAAACCTTGGTTTTGGATCTGAACTTGAGGCCGAGATGCCATGGCTTGCTGGAAGATGTGAAGTAGTATAGGATGGGGTTCAGGCAGCAGTTGAAACTGACCAGGGCCAAAGTGACCCGGCGCATTTTGTAAATTACGCTGGTAAACGGGCAACTTTGGATGAGCTGGACCCTCATCAGGAAGTGGAGTAGGTGAGTGAGATGATAAGGAAGGAAGCACAGGATGCAGATGAGCAGGATCAGGTAGATGGTCCTCAAGGCCTTCTTCTTGTGAATGCTGCGTCTGGTGTGGGCGATCCGCTTGGCGATGAGAGGGTAGCTGATGAGGATGACGGCAAACGGGATGACAAAGCCAAACAGCAAGGCGCAGACGTTGTAGGGCATCATGCGATGGGTCCAGCTAGTCGGCGAGAAGTTCTCAAAGCATGCGGTCTTGTTCCCTGAGCCCTTGTTGTGAAGGGGCCCCCCAAGAATAAGCGGGATCGTGATGCTTGCGGCAACGAGCCAAAAGACTGTGACCGCTATCCTGTAGTGGGTGACTTTGATCCGGATGTAGGTGAAGGGGTGTAGCACGGCCACGTAACGATCCATGCAAATGCAGGTGAAGAAGGCAATGCTGACGTAGATGTTGATGTAATACAAGGCCCCGGTGATCCTACAAGCCATGTCTCCAAAGATCCAGTCGTTCTGGTTCAGGTGGTAATGGATTTTAAAGGGCAATATACAAACAAACAAGGTATCTGCTATAGCCAGGTTGATGAGGTAGATGGAGGAGTGCGAGGTGTGCTTGACCTTGCAGGTCAAAAGGTAGAGAGCCAAGACATTTTCTAGCAGTCCCAGTACAAAGACAATGCTGTAGATGATAGTGAAGAGATGGTACTGGAAGTCTGCTTCCACACAACAATCCACTATGGTTGCATTCGAGTGTCCCCTGGCCATGGTACAGGAAGTGTTTGCCATGCTTTCTGCTGCAGGAGAACAAGTTCGGTGGGGAGAGCCTAGATTAGCTTCTTTTTTCCAAAAGATGAGCAAATCCAAAGCTCCAGGAGCTCTCTGTCCTGGGGTGAGAACTCGAGGTGTGTTGTTACATCAGCCAGCTCTGGTTAAAAGGCAGCTAAAGCTTCTACGCTCAGTAAACCTAATAAGATAAAAATAAGCATTAGTGTGGTGGGGAAAGACTTTCCGTCACGTTACAATCAAAACTATCCCCTAAAACAGGAGACGGGTTGAGATTAAGCGGCTGCAGCCCCCAGCTCGTTTACATTTCACGTTTAACAGGCAGCTGGAGGAGACCAGTTACAGGAGCAAGTATAGACTATGTAAAGGGGACACACGTTTAACTTGCGATGGGCTGAAGAGTTAAATACTGGCCTGTCCTTCCAATGTAGCACGAGATGGTTCCTTGCAGTGAGCAGAGTGGCCCCTATGTGAGTAGGGCTTCAGTTATTGCAGGGGTCTGACAGGTTAGGTACCATTTACTGCCCTGGGAGTGTTTCACCAGCGCACTGACTGTGTGTAACTCCCTTGGCAATGGTTCTAAATGGCGGGCAGGGGAAAGTCTTCCAGTTAAAACGGATGAGGTTTGATTTAAAGCCCAGAGCCAAATCTAAGACCTCAGGGCTGGTGCCGGGCTATTTCCCATGAATGTGCTGCATGACTTTAGCACACCATTATCACAAGTGGCCCCTCATTCTGCACGCCCAGCTTGGGACAGCTTAGGGAGAGGTGCTCAGCACTGGTGGAAGCCAAGCCCCAGTTCTCTGAGATTAGCCATCCAAGTCTGAGCATTGGACTGGGCCTAGCAGCCCTGGCTTCTGTTCCAGGCAAGTCACGTCACCTCTCGGTGCCTGTTGCCCCTCCTACCCTTTGTCTTAGACTGCAAGCTCTTCAGGGCAGGGGTTGTTTCTCATGACGTATCTGTACAGAGCCGAGCACAAGCAGGCTTGGATGTCAGCCGGGGCCTCTAGCTGCTACTGTAATACAAATAACCTCTTGAAACAATTGGGATACCGCCTCCCCGAGGAGTGAGGTTTCACACAACGTTCGTTTGTAAAGTGCTGTGAGATCCTCTGGTGGGAGCCCCTAGGAAAGTAGATGTAACTATTCATTATACATTAAAGGGGCACAGTCCGTCTCCTCTCACTTGTACTGTTGTCACAAGAAGTACCAAAGATTATTATAACAGATTGGGGGGGGGGGGAAAAAGTTTCATTTTGGCACTACAGGGGGAAAAGAAAGAGTGTGACTACACAATCTGTTGGGGGGGGGGTTTTTCAGATAACAGAGGGGGGGGAAAGGGAAATAATTGCAAAACCACACTGTGGCAAACCATGCCTCTCAACTATTCAGTGGATGGTGTCCCAGGCAAGAGAATTTCACCAGAGCAGGATCTAAACGCGCAGCGACAACTCTGATTTGACCCTGTCCCTGACAAGAAAAAGAGCGACCGAGAAATTGCAGCAGGCCTAAAACATAACATACTGACTCATGCACACAAACGAGGAGGTGGCAATGGTCTTAGATGGAGAATTAAATTTAAGATAGATCCGAGGAGCAGCCAGGGTGATCTGAATAAATAAGAGTGATGTATGAGTGGAGAGGATACTAGCAAATGAAGTGAGCGGTGGGGTTTTGAATAGGCTGTAGAATTTGTCAAGAGGAAAGAGACAGTAATTTTACTAACCACTAACTGAATGACGTGGAACAGAGCAGACTGAGTCACTCAGTCAGCAGAGGTAGCACCACACAGGAAAACACAGGTTTTTTTCCCATAAGTGACATTTTGCTGACCACACCAACCCACTCAAATTAAAGGAAAATCTCACGCTCTCACTTCTCAAGCAGTCTTGGTGTGAGAATTGACTAGCCAAGGCACAAAATCTACTTGCCCGACATCACCATGATGAAAACAGAGACTAATATTCTAGCTGTCTGCTGTGAGTACAATACTGCACAGCTGTGCTAAAGCCACCATCTAAGTAGGCATCGGAAACCAGGTCTGCCCCACTGAAAGAGGACAGCAGCCTTCTCCAGCCTCACAAAAAGGAAGTGAAATGTACGGCTGGAAGGGATCTCGAGAGGTCATCGACTTCAGCCCGCTGTGCTGACTTGGTAAGACGGGTAACTCCATTTAGATGTTCCACTCCCTTTAAGTGAACCTGCTTTGGATTAATTATGGCAAAACGAGGATAAGAGAGGGAAGAAAACTCTGAGGACATTCCATCATCGGCTCTTTACAAACAATTTAGCATCACAATACACGTCGGAAGTAAATAAATTTAAGTATCTTCATTATACACTAGGGGGTAGAGGTAGTAGCAAAATGACTCTCCCCATGTCACAAAGCTAGGAGAAGCACCCAGTTCCCCAGGTACAGTCAACTTCTCCCGATTGTAAATAAACTAAATTGTTTACTCGTGGTTCTCCTACTACCCTAAGGCCCCCATTCCGCAAGTAAATCAGCGTGCGGGACCAGCGCCTACATTTCTTTAAAACCCCAATTCTTTCTGCTGTATTTATCAAGGCCATTTTACTTCCTGCATTTCAGCTCGGATAATGAAAATCACCATTGTGAGATTCACTTGCCAAAGCTCTCCATGGTGCAAAATTTCTGGTTTGCAAACCCAGTAGTGAAGAGGAAAAGGTCTGTTGGATTGGAAAAGAAGTTTCCATTGTTATTAATGGAAATGTTTCTGTTAGTCACAGGATAAATGCACGTTTTTACAAAATTTGAATTTCAGGTCATGTGATTTGTAACACACCAGAAATGCAAGCATTCCCAATGTCGGGGTGCAGCGTCCTAGGCAGATTACAGCCAAGTGGAAGGAATTAGCAGCATAAGATATTTAAATCCCCCCCCCCCCCAAATAAGTTACTATGTCAGTTGGAGCTAGTCAGTTATTTTCACACATTTACCAGGGGCGTTGCAAACCTAATTCAGCCTGATCATTTGGAGAGGGGCTTTCCAACTTGTATTAACATGTAAGCATTCCTCTAAAAAAACCCAGACACTCGCTGCCAGCTGCCCTCATACTGTGCCATGCGGCGTCTCATGACAAATCAAGAAAGGGAAGTAAAAGAAACAAACTCACCCACCGGCCCCAGGCCACTATCTCACGCGAAAAATGCTACGAACATGCTGGATCCTCTGAAGACGCTTCACAAAGCAGAGGCTTGATGCTGAGCTCTCCTGTCGAAAGTGTAGCACCAGAATGAAGTCACCTTGCAAAGCAAATGGCAAAACCCTCCCACCTTGCTCTGCAGCGAGAAACCACAGGAAGTGCAGAGGTAGGCCAAGCGTTCCGGTTCATACTCGGACTCGGCCGGTAGGTGAACAGAACATTTCACATCATGCCCAGCATGTGTCACGTGAAACTACAATGAGATGAGTTTCAGTTTTGCCAGCGAGTGAAAGGCGGTCTTCCCGGGCGCCAGCGAGTGAAAGGCACAGTCCCATGTTCATTCACAACTGCGACAGGCACCTGAACTACTACGCAGCCCTAGGCCTCCCCCTTAGCCGAGAACGCTGATGCTTCCAAATCATGGGCCAGTACTTGACTTTAGCCTGAGCCTAAATCCGATTCATTTCACTTGTGATTTTATCTGTATTTTAACCAATGCTTTTCCTGGTAAGGAGAAATGGCAATGATGCGGCAAGGTTTAGGCCACTGGTTAACGCCTTTCCAGGGAAACAGCTGCCTAAATGTGACTGATCGTGTCCGATTTCCTGTGTGTCTGTATCTATGTGGAGCTCGGATACCCAGGTGAGTCCAAAGCACCATGACAGCTGGTCCCTTAACTGTTCTGCAATATGTCCAGTCTCTAGGGTAACGACAGGGTGAGTCCAATGCTCCACAAGCAGATGCACGAAGCCGTTGTATAACATCAGTCGGCACCGCCCCTACTGAGATACCGACGTTCACCTTCCCGACTGTGTGGAAGGGATTGTGTGGCATTTTCCGGGGCTCCTGGGAACTGCCAGTGGCACTGTTAGTGCTAAGAATGCAGCTCCCGACTCACCCGTGTGCAACCAAAGAAAGTGAGTAGGAACCAACCCGCTAGGTATGAAGGGAGAGAATAAAATGGAAAATTCTTACCTCTCCTTCAGTGGGTGGAAGTAGTGAGTCCACTGGTAAACCTGCTACCGGCAACAGTAAAGGGCTGAAATACTTCACCATCACCTGCCTGTCAGAGTTAATGCACACTGCACAATCTTGCAACTAAGTATTTTTCATTTGGCTGAACAGGTTACCGGGTATCTAGGCCAACCCCCCAGTAACAAAAAGCACCCTCCGACCTTGAGGAGCTGACTGTAGGGCTCTGAACACCAGCTCTGCAGTCAAGGAGAGAGCTTGTCACAGGGTCTTAGAGTTCAGTCTCATTTCCTGTATATCTCAAGCCGCCGCCACCCAACAACCAAAAGGAAACCAAATATGACAGCCCTCTGGAACCTCGATTTTGTGCCACAGGCAGAGAATAGAAAGGACCAAGATGCACCGATGCCCAAAGTCGCTGCAAATGGCGGGGAAATGAGTAAGTGAGATAGACCCTGATAATCTTGGCAGGTCACCTGCATCCACACACTGCAGAGGAAGGTGGGGGGGAAAAAAACAGCCACCCACAGTCACTGACAATCTTACCGTCTCTCTGGTCCTTCTCAATAATTGCAACACAGGCACACGAGGAGGAAGAGCTAATTCATAAAGTTGACATTAGGCACCTTCAATGTGCACCAAACATGATTTTTGCAGCAGGACCCGGGCAAGCACTAGTGTTTAACTGAGCGATATGTTCGCTTTCTTTTGGAAAAACCACAAAACACTGAAGTTTGCACTAACCAAGCCATAAGACACCGCAAAGCTTTAGAAGAGGCAAAGCAAAAGGCAGAGCGAGATGATGTTATATAAGCATCACTCCTGCTTCAGTCTCTGCCTAAAACTTTTGCCACAAAGACGAACTGCTGCAGAATATGCACAGCAAAACAGGCCCCCCCCCTCCAGCACACCTAGGTCTGGTTTTTAGCTCCCAGTGATGTCAATGCTCAACACCTCCCAGGTACTCAGCTGCCTCCGGCATGGGCCTTTGCAAACAGAGTCCCCCTCAAGGAAGGCTGGGGTTTTGGGGCCATTCACAAGCCAGGCCAATTAACACACAATATGATGCTGACTGTATCAGACCTAGTCATAAAATAGGCAAAACTTGAGGTTTAAGTGTCACAAAAAACAATCCTGTTTAATTAAAAAAAAAATAAGGTATCTGTGTTCTCCATCACGCTATGCTCCTGTGCTGATTCACATGTGCTTTGTGCATGATAAGCCTGCTGTCAGCCCCACGCATTAATAGCTGTAACACAGTTGCAGCAAAATGTCCGATTATCAAAAATAATTTGCTAGTGTCTAAGGTGCCACAAGTACTCCTCGTTCTTTTTGATCATCCTTGAGTGTTTCTATTGTTCTAGCAATTTTTTTCTTAAACAAATAGATCTTCTCTGGCTTTTGCAAATGACCCCAATTAATAAAGGGCTATTATTACTTTTCCGCAATTTTCCATGTCTTGTCCACAACTCAGCTGCAATTATTTGACAATCATCCCGCAATTCAAGTTGGGCTTTCGTGATACATACATAAACGACTGTGTCTCCTGCTGGTCTGCAAGACGACAGGGATTACAAAGAAGAGGGGTAAAGAGGAGACAAAGGTTTGCCTACTGTGGTCTGACCTCATTCTGCGTCTGTGCCCAGGGGAAGTGACGCCCCTCCACACACACAGGTCCCTTCCCTGTATGTTGGTGGAGGCAGGAGGCGAGGGGAAGACAGTATGTGAGCGTGTAGCCAGTGATGTGACCCAAGTAGCTTACAATCTACAAACCAACCAGCTGTCCGTCGCCCAGAGTTACCAATCCTTCCAAGCCTCTGGGCACGTGGACAAATGACGTGGCGATGTCTCTAGCCACAATCAATGGGGTTTATTGAGACCCGGCCGCGTATCAGCATACAAAGCGAGTTCTGGAAAGCTCTGCGACATGGCCCCCACCAACCGAGTTCTTTCAGGCACAGCTGCACGTCTCACAGGGCCGCTATTTTGCTGCGTTACCTTCCGTGTCCACGTCTGCGAGGAGAAAAAGGGAAAACATTGATGTGGAAAGAGAGAGAAACCCAGCCACACCTGAAAGCACTTAAGTTTGTGTTTCTTCATTTCCTGCCTGGGCTCCGTCCCCACAAACGCGGGCAGATGGCTGGGTGGCTCGGCAGCCAGCGCTTCTTGGGAGAAGTGCCATTAGAACGGGCCAAAACTGACAAGCTGCAGCGTTTTCAAGGACCGCTTAAGAGCTCTGCTTTGTCTCCAAGCTGGTTGTGTGGCTCTTTGTTTCCCTGCTTCTTGTTCCCCGAGTCCTGCTCTGGCACCTCCAAGAAAAATCAAAGGAGGCCTCGTCTGCTGCTGTGGGGGATGAAACCTAACCCTAGTTTAACAGAGCCTCGGGGAGCCTTGACAGCTTTAGCAAGCCCTGGCTGCAACGGAGTGGTCCCAGGGAGGGCTGGTGGGGCTAGCTGAGATGGACGCTCTGTGTTTGTTAAGGCCCCTTCATACCAGCTCACCCCGGCCCTGGTGAATCGCTGGCTAATGAGGAGAGGAAGATTCTACCCGGAGCTGCAGAGAGAGGAAGTGGCTCCCAGGCAGGGCACTCCAGGGAGACGGGGGCCCCAGAGAGAGCCTGTAGAAGGTGAACCATTGACGTCCATTTGTCCCCACCCCGCCTGTAGAAGGGAATTGAGTTTTGTTTATTCACTGCAGCTCAGGGGTCCGAAGGCCTTTCTCTACGCAGCATAGGATCACCAGTTACACAAGCTTCTCCATATAGCCACCCACCATCGTTTGTGCCCTCAACGCTGACCTGGCCAGGTAGGGCACAGTGCTGTGTAGCTGTTAGGACACCTGGGTTCTACTCCAGGCTTCTGCCTCGGAGCCCACGTGACTATAGGCAAGTCAGTTTTGCCTCTCCGTGCCTCAGTTTCCCCATCATTGACAGTAATACGCGTCTTTATAAAGGGCTGTGAGAGCTATGGATGAAGTAGCTCCAGTTGGTACTTGATTATTGTATCATTTCACAATGGTGGCTCACATCTGTCACTACGGCAACGCTCGCTAGGAAGTAATTCGATGCCCCCATCCTTCTCCCTTGGAGCGGATCGCTAATCTCATCAGAAGCAAGTACGCGTGTTTACGGCAAAGATTTCATTGATTCCCTTTAATGGGACACTAACACAGAGGCTGTATTCGATTTAGAAATAAGATCGTCTTTGCCCCACCAAGACATCATCTTATCACATTCTGCCTGCAATAAAATCGCTTTTATCGTTCAAGCCAGTTAATATCCTCCTTCCCTACAGGGGAAACAGATTGGCGCTTTTTTTTTTTTTTTTAATTTTTCTCAAGCAGTTCCTTAAATAAACCGCTTAAAACAGATACCACGTCTCCGATCACAGGGACCCCCTGGATTTCTGTCTCCTGTTCTGGACAGGTTAAGCAACAGGCCTTATCATTACGGGTTCTGTGGAAGAACAACCCAGTGAGAGGTGGGAATGAAGATGCGAGCAAATTCTGGATATTTGGATGGTGCCCACTACCCTTCTCAGCCCGCTATTAAACATTTAAAGAGGGTAGTAGCTCTACTCGTTACGTGCAAGAGACTAAGAGTCTCAAACCCTGGGTTCTGTTCCTGTCTCGGGGAGGGCAGGGGTCAGGTAGTTAGAGCAGGGGACCAGGTGCCAGAATTATTGGATCCTAGACTTCGCTCAGCCACTGATTTGCTCTGTGACCTCGGGCAAGTTGCTGCACCTCCTTTGCTTCAGTTTCCTCATCAAAACGGCCATAATGCTCACGTGGGTATAACGAGGCTTCATTAGTTCGTCTGTACTGACACAGCCCCGTTCATCCAAGAATCTCAAAGCCCTTTGCAAACTGTATGATGAATGTTTTACCAACGGAGGAAACTGACCAGGAAACGCACCCGTCCATGATGCCCCATTGCAACGAGCGCCCATTACGACTTCGGCACTCAGTGGAACGTGGCTATAAATAGCCTGTGGGATGAATAATGGCGAAGATGGTTTTGATAGCAAGGCTGGGGCAGGTGACTGCTGCCTTCAGAGGCAGATCCGACTCTACTGAAGGAGCCTTGCGATGCTCAGGGTTCCCTCTGACCGGCACTCCATGGATTCACTTACCAGCGTCGTCATACTCCACAGATTTCAGGAAGAGTCCGGCTGCTGGAGCCATGGTGTTTTGTGGATAAGCCAGCGAGTCTCTAATCTCTAATAGTTCCTTTATGTGATAAGGAGCCAGCCTGCCTTGGCCAACTGCTACCAGAGCCCCTGCCATCCTTCGTACCTGAAACAACAGAGAATCCGGCTTAGAAATACCGCCCCGTTGTTGCCCTCATAAAAAGCAGACGTGAAAACCCATCTGATGCTTTCAGTGTAACCCAGCAGGGCCCAGGGGCATGTAACATTCCATAACTACCAGGGCCAGGGAATTAGCCTATGGAGAGATGCTTCACGCCCTGCAGTTCAAGGCAGCATGCCCAGTCCCTGTCACCCTGGGAGGAGTCCTGCCAACACACACTGGTTGAGAAGTGGCCCGAGAGGGCCAAGCAAATTCCAGCACTGGCGACCGGTAAATTAAGCCCCTTGCTCAAAGGAAGGTCAGATAAACCAGCCCTCGCAAGAATGCGTTGTCTCTCTGGGGCCTCTTCTGCAGGTATTTTGAGTGCCACCACTGGCTGTGGCATCTCCCTGCCAAGCCAGCTGCGGGAAGCTCCCATCACTCATCCCAGCTACCTCTGTCCCTCTGTCTGGACACAAAGGGCTCTGGGCGTCTCCTGAGAGGGGCTGAGTGGGAATTAAGGGGACTCAGGCCCTTGGAGGAGATTCCAAGCTCCGTGGTCTATTCTATGCTGGGCTTCTTTACTGAGAGCCAACCAAGGGGCTCCATCACGGCACAGACCCGCTGGGTGTGTCTACACTGCAATGAAACACCTGCAGCTGGCCTGTGTCAGCTGACTTGGGCTCACGGGGCTGTAAAACTGCAGTGGAGATGTTCAGGGGCAAGCAGGAGCCCAGGGTCTGGGACGTCCCTCCTCCCCCCATCACGGGGATTCAGAGCCCGGGCTCCAGCCTGAGTCCGAATGTCCACACTGCAATTTTGCAGCCCCACAGCCTACCCTCGCGTGCCCGGGTCAGCCATGCCTGCTTTAGTGCGGTGTAGACGTACCCAAAGAGAACCAGGCCCAGACCGGTCACCCCAAAGAGCCCTGACTCTCTGTCCATAATGTGGCAGCCTGGAGCTTCCACATCCCCCAGAAGCACCCCTTGGCCTTGCTCTTTTAACTCTCAGGGTCTGTCTACACTGCAACGCAACCCCAGGGATAGAGAACTCGAGTTGGCCGGCCCTGGGTTTGTTAACCTGGGACTTGAGCGTCTACACCCATTCGTAAGCCCAGGTTAGGAATCGTTGAAACCCAACCTGGGGCTCCAGCATCTACACTGCATTATGCAGGTCCGAGTCCAGCCAGGCATATCCCAGACTTCCTAGCGCCCTCCCACAACGTGGCCACTCTTGCCCCTTGTTCATGGGGCCGTGCGGGAAAACTGGACTGCCCACGAAACTTGACCGTTCAGAGGACAAAAAGTCAGCCCATGGGATTGTGGGATACTCCCCGAGCATGAGTCCGGGGGCGGGGAGGGGGGGCTGTGTCTACACTGCAAAGCAATAGGGCTTGAACCCAAGCTTGGAGCCTCCACCCCCAAGGGGTCCCGGGACAGAGCCATGTGTGTGTGCACGGAAGAGGGATTAGGGGTGCAAACCCTGGACTTGCATTGCAGTGTAGACATGCCCTGAGACCCTGCCTTTGTGACACCCCCTCACGCATGGCCCCTGCTCCCCCAATCCGCTGGTGAGCTCCAGCAGCTGCCCCCTATCTCCAGCCTGCAGGGGGCAGGGCATGGCAGTGGTAGGCGGTAGCTCTGCTGTGATTTGCCTGCTCCATGCGTCTGCCCCGCTCAGCGGTGCCTGGGACTGCAGGCAGCAGTGACAGCGGCCACCAATAACACAAATCAGCACAGTGACCTCTAGTGGCCAAAGGAGGAGGGGTGAACTTCAGACAAAATTCCTGGGCCCTCTGCATTATATCATGAGAGCCTTCCTTGCAGTGATACTGAGAGCACCGGGGACGCTGAAACTTTCTGCTACACAGCAACGCTGCCTCTAACTGGAGCGCACGCGTGGGCAGAGAGAGCTGAGCAGAGGCGAGGAGCAGCAGCACCCACACATCCCTCTGTGGTAGGAAACTAACGAGCACGCGACAGAGCTGGGCTTTCAAACTCAAGTTACGCAACCAACCTTGTTTCCAGGCGGGGGAGACTCGGGGGCTCGTGTCTCTCTCAAAAAGCCAAAAACAAGTGAGTCAGACGAGAAAGAAATGCCCCCGCAGCCGGGAATTTGATATTTCAAACACCTCCTCTGATCTGCATAGAACAGCTCCCCACTGCCACTTGCTGCTTCCATCCACACCGGGAGGACTAGAGAGCTACATGGAGAATCTTGCCCTCATGTCCATCACCTGAGCATCTAGGCTAACAGTTGTCCTTTCCCTCTCTGTCCCTGGAACCGAAGGTGCTGCATGGATGCCACTGGCACGTGCATCCGTCGGTGCCTCCTGTCCCAAGATGCCCCAAAGTCAGCAGCCTCCTACGCCAGAGGCACGGAGCATCTCTGCAGACAGGCCGTGCACGGACTGCTGCCTGGCACGGGCGGCAGAAGCCAATGCCCGCTTGCAGCAGCTGCATCAACACGAGCAGCCACCGCCTGACAGCTCCTCCTCAAAAAGGGCACATCTACCACCATGCAGGAGAAGCGAAGCTAAAAACTAGAGCACCAAGGATGCGAGTAGGAATGAGGTCTGCCTACAGGAGGCGCTGTCGCTCGTTAAGAAAGAGGATCTGATAGAGCGTAAGCTCTTTGGGGCAGGACCGTCTTTTTCTTCCATGTTTGAACACGCTGGGGTTCTGGTCCATGAATGCGGCTCACGGGCACTAGGGTAATACAAATAATTAATCATCACAATCATAGGTCCAACCCCTCAATCCCCTTAAGCCAGCTGTGATAGGGCTTGGGATGGCCTTTGGGTTCCATACGGCTGCTAGGAAGTGAAACCCATTGTTGTGTTTTTCAAGGCACTGATTGCCCAGCAGCTAGTTAGTTACAGGCGGGAGCTGGACAGGCGTCACTGCTAGCAACCAAGCAGCAAAACCATCAGCAACAGCTGGGCCCGTACCCTCTCCAGGCAAAGCTCTGGTGGGGCAGGAGAGTGGGCACTGGCAGTGATCCTGTTCAAAGCACGCAGTGCCGCTGGAGAAAGGAGACGACGGGATGTCACAGCTCCCACAAGAGTTAATGCACAAAACGGAAACCGTCCACCCATTGGCACTAGCATCGCATCAGCGAGTGCCCCTTTTAAGGGCCGTGGGCAGACTCAAAGGGGGAGATGGGGCGGGGTGCTGACTCTGCCGGCGGGATGCTCAGTGCTTTCCGAACATCAGGCCCTTTGAAGGCACCTCAAAGTGGGCACCCCAGAGAGCCCCAGGGTGGCCTTTCCAAAGCCCTCTGCTATGCTCGCACGGGCAGGCCCTGCGGCTCCCCTCAGGCCGTAGGACATGGCAGTCCCCGCCCCAAAGAGCTCATGGTCTAAAAGACAAGCCGTAAGAGATGGACGAAATTAACAAGTGGGCGGTGCAAGGAGCCAGCCAGCAGCCGAGCTCTCAACATGCCCAGGAGAACGTGAGCCTGAGTGCGTAGCCATGGGCCATAATCCCCATGGTTCAGTCAGCGGGTGCTGCGAGGGCTTCGGACCTTTGCCCCTTCTGGCTGCCTTTCCAAGGGTATAGCTAGCCCAGTGGGACCTGGGGGGATGCAAGGCACTGTAGAAATGCTAGACGTTATTTAACCTTTGCTCAGGGTCCCTGCCCTGCAGGTTGCATGGGGCAGAGAGCGCTGTTCGGCCTCTCACAGGAGGGGGACACTTCCATTTTGCTTTTATGCAAAAAGCACACAAAAAAGTTACTTGCTCCCTTTTATATTATTGGCAGCCTGTCCTCAGCCGTGTCGCTGTCTCCTCCCCAGCTACCAACCAGCTCCCCCACAGCCTTCCCCCGCATGACTCAAGGGGAAAATTATTCCAGCATCCATGCCATGAAAAGCTGCCTCGCCCCGGCTTCTGTGCTTGCTATCGTCTCTGCGCTCTCTCCATTACAGCCCAAGGCGCTGGCTTAGCCGTCTCAGCAGAAGAGTTTAAATACCTTGTCTCCCTTCACCCCCAAGAATCAGAGCAGGACTAACTGAGGTTTCACACACAAACTCTAATGCAGGTAGCTAAGTGTGTACAGGACTTTTGCACAAACCCTTAAACCCCAAGGTCCTGTCTGGCTATGAAAGACCCTAGGACATCTTTCATAACAGCAGGGTTTGCCCTGGTGTCTGCCCACTCGCTGTCACACACGGTGCTCCCTGCCAACCCAGAGGTAGCTGCATTGCAGAGCACAGGGCTGCTGGCTGTGTGTACATATAGTTAGGGGAGCATTTGGGGATGAAAACTGCTAGAGCAATTGGAATTCTATCACAGTTAATAACTTTGCATCAGGAATTTCCAGCCATTAGGATCCTCCTTTTTTTGGTGACCTATAAAGGTAGAAATAAAATTATGCTGGCACCCTATTTATTTATTTATTTAGCTTCTTTATGGTGCCACCCGATAATGAAAAACAGGAATATCGAGTCTGATTTTGCTGGAGGAGCCGAAAACCTTGAGCCCTTAACTGAAGGGGCAGGGGACGATTAAACTTTAACAAAAATGTCTTTTCTCCCAGATGTTTGGCAGGTGTTTGAGTTGTGGTAGTGCCTAGGAGCTTCTGTCACATCTCAGCTAAAAGGATCCCTCTTCTCAATTGCTCTGGGTCCACTTTCTTGAGAGTTAAGATCCTATCATCCTTTAAGCTCCCCAATCACAGAATCTTAAGAGGAAAAGCAGAGCAGAGACAACCTGAACTGCTAAAACAAAAACTAAAAGCCCAGACTCCTTCCTGCTCTTTATGCAGTTCATCATGCTGCAGCACCAAAGGACACAAGCACATCCTGAAAGCCACCTTTTGGGGCTGCCTACTGCCTGACCCTCCTTCCCTCTTGCCATCTGAGCCAAGAAAAAAACTCAGCACCTTCCTTCTGAGCAGGGCTGAAGAAAGCGCCTTTCTGCTGATAGCACTTCCAGAAACAGAGTCTGGCAGGCTCTGAGCTGGAACCTTTGCAGCGTAGCTGCTCTCCCAGGAGCTCCGACTGATCTCATCAGAGGGATACAGGGCTGAGGGTGCTAGCTAGGCTGCACGATCAACTCCCAGCCCTGCTCCTCCCTCGTATATCGATGAACTTATTCTGAAACTAGACTTATCTCCTGGCCCCTGGCATACTTCATGTTGCACTGCGGCTTTCCCGTTAGGCTGCAGTCAAGAAAGGTCACTTTAAACTCCCACCACAAGCCTCGCTAGCGATCCATTTCTAGGGATACGGGCTGTTCTGCGGTCACTATCAAAGAGACTGTCTAGTGGTTAGAGCTGGGGAAGATCTGGGGTCTGCTCACTGCATGACTGTGGGCAAGTCAATTTGCCCTTGAGAAGTTTAATGTGCAAAGGGCTTGGAGATCCCCAGGAAAATAAAGGGAGAAAGAGGGGAGTGGGTTCCAAAACCAGGCAGCCAGCTCCTAACAGGGCCAACCAGCAGGAGAGAAGGTTCAGTGGGGGTCACTGACGCGCTTGGAACTTCATCCATTGTGCTCACTGCCTGTGGGAACAGCCGCTCAAGCATTCCTAGAACTCTGCAATGCACAGAAGCCCCAACACCTAATTCCACCCGGCTCAGTGGCGACCGGCCTTTCAAGCTGGGCGTTGTGTTTGGTGAGGTCCCGCAAGACCGCTCCTCGAGGCTGCTGGAGCTCTGCGATTGTCTGACTAGTATCCCGGGCGCTGAGAGGAAAGCGACCATGCAGGCTCAGGGGAGACACCAGCTCACAACAGCCTGTGTGTCACACATCGCAGGGATGGGGAGTCCCACTGACATGTGGAGTTGGGCCACAGAACATGCTACTGGTGCAGCCACTTGCTTGTGGTTGTAACTTGTATCCCACCCACTGCTATCTCATCCCCTCCCGTGGATCTCTCCAGATTTTCCACTAGCTGATTTTACCAGCAACCCATGAGCGCAGACCGAATCTGTACGAGGGACTCAGATCAAACACACGGGGGCCCAGCTGCCACGCTTACTTGTGCAAACAGCTGTTGTGCAAATGCACATCCACCTCCGTACGTGCAATCGGTTGTGCCCGCACAGAAGGGAAGGCTGGGGCTAACATCGGAGTTCTGTTTAGATTTGTTTTATTAGGCTGCTTGTGCCCTTACAAGAAAAATGAAGAAACAAATGTAAAGCAAATCCTGCAGGGACCTAAGCACAACACTATAAAAGAGGAGGAAACAATTATCCAGGCGGTTGCGTTTACAGTGCAGTAAACTCAGCTAATCGGGTTTGTCCTTGTTAAACCCACGCACAGGTCAAACGAGCGAGGAGTTATTTATAAGAAGACAAAGCACCATCACTTTCCCACTAATGCCTTAATCCAATCAAAGCAGCCGGCTCCCAGTGCCGTTAGCAACTAGGGGGTTGGGTTCGGTCTCTAAATCTTCAGATTGATGGGCCAACCCAGCACGGATCTGTTTTATGGATCTTCCCTGCTCAAGCCAGCTAGGTCTTTTCCAGCTCTACCTGCTAAGATCCTACACTTCAGCATGGATCAAACAAGCCAGGTCTGACTGCGAAGAAACGACCCTTCTGGACACGCACTATTTTACATTTTCCCCACTAGAGGTCACTGCCTGCTGCGAATCTAACTCCGATGCCTCAGTGTTTCACGTCTGCCTGCTTTAAAGGCCGGCTGCCTCAGGGATCTGGGATAGCCACACGCCCCGCATCCTCATCAGCCTCACGGGGCCAACACATTACACGCCTCGTGACAATTCTCCTGGGCTGCCCCACCCTGCTTCCCTTGTCAAATGCATCCTGACTGCACCAGCGGGTAGGTCGGTGCACACAGTTCAAAGCTGAGCTGGGTTTCTGCAGGGATGGGGGAGGTTGTCATAGCTGTCTGCAGTAGATAGTTGGGCAGAGATCGCGCGTGGGGGGGGCCCAGAACGTCACCGCCCGAGGCTGGGACCTCCTAAGGCCTAAAACGCTCACTTGGAGGGAGACAGACAATCTCTCTCTCTTAATTGTCCTTCCCGGGAACAGGGAACGGGCCTACGTCCTTCCCATGCCCTGAAGGTCTCCCCTGTTTCGAGCCCACTGCTGCTCCGCCTTGGCCGCTCAGTCGCTGGGCGCCCGCAGCCAGGGAGTTTAAGAAAACAAAACTGGTCTGCCGTAATGGAATCCAAAAGAGCTGCTTATTTCTCCCACAAAGAAGACCGAGCTGCCCTCTCTCTGCTGCCAGAACGTGACCATGGCTGAGACCCACCGACCAGCATCGCCAACTCTTTCCTAACAATGAGCTCCATTAAACTGAGGAGCAGCCTCTCCCGGGAGGGAGGGGGGGAAACGTGGTGAAAACCCCCCTCCTGAGTCATTTCCAAGCAGACAGGACAAAGCTAGAGAACAGGGCAGAGAAGGGAAGAATCTTCCTGGGAGAGGAACCACACGGCGTAATGGCGCTTTTCCAGCTCTCCTTTCTATAGTTCCACGTAGTATTTCATGATCCAAAACACAAGTGAAAACTCCAGCCTGTCGTCACTAGGGTCAGCTTCGTAGCACAGAGCGAGACTGCCTGGCTAGTGGCTGCAGCCACTCAAACCGAAGGGATAAGGCAAGGTAGTTTGGGGGGAAGGATAGCTCAGTGGTTTGAGCATTGGCCTGCTAAACCCAGAGTTGTGAGTTCAATCCTTGAGGGGGCCACTTAGGGATCTGGGGCAAAATCAGTACTTGGTCCTGCTAGTGAAGGCAGGCGGCTGGACTCAATGACCTTTCGGGGTCCCTTCCAGTTCTAGGAGATAGGTATATCTCTCTCTATATTATTATTTAGAACTCCCACCCACATGGCCTGGAACCTCCAGTCATTTTAGGAGCAAACTTAGAGGTTCTGGTTCTACTGGTCCAAACGCTGAAATAAGAACATCTGGGTTCTATTCCCGGCTCTGCTATGGACTCACTGCGTGGCCAGAGCAGTGACGGCACCTCCTTGCCTCAGTTTCCCCCTCTGTAAAATAGGGAAGACACCTCCCAAGGATGTAGTGAAGTTTGCTGAGTGCTTTGAGATCCTTGGGTGAAAGGGGCTGACGGCGGATAGAGCTGTATCACCATCGCGGCACTCTACCGTACCTGCCTGTAGAGGAATGATCTGCTCTTGAATTCTAGCTCCCAGAACTGCAGTCCCCTAGAAAAAGAAACAAAAGATCCGTTTTTAAAATTGTCTCCCTCGAACCAGCCACCCGCAGCCCCAAGAGGGACCGTAAATCACTGGTCAATTACAGGCAGGCAGGAGAATCAATGTGAAGCCGTGAGTTTCCACTTCTGATGTAAAGAGCCCTCATTGATCCCCAACACTGAACAGTGACAGCTTCCTCCAGAGCCCAGATTCTCCAGCGGGAACTACGCTGAACTTGCGAACGGTCAGTGATGCAGTGAGCAAAGCTGCACAGAGCACTCCCCAGCCCTCCACTCGCCTACAGCTAAACGGGCAAATTTCACAGTCCTGGAGTACGACAAACAGCACTGGCTGAAATAAAGGAGACACAAACCTTTGTCAGGGAAACGGCAGAGCAGATTGATGGGGGAAGCTGAAATGCTGCTTCTAAGACCGATGGCGCCAGAGCGAACAAGCACCTCGGGGCTGCACCGGACACGCGTTGCACCATACCCAAGGCAAATTTCTCCCTCACCATCCCAGCTCGCTTCTTGTGTGGAGCTTACAGGAAGTTTATACAGCAGCAGAGGCGAGGGTCTGTTCTCTACCCAACCCACACACTGCTCTGCCAGTCACATTCTGGCTGGCCCCATGTAGGTGGGGATGGGAAGAGGCCAGGATGGTCCTTCCCTTTGTGCCCTCAGCATTTGCCCTAATCGTTGAACCACCACATGCATCGTGCGGCCCATCTGGCAGGTTCTCTCTGCCCGGCAACAGATTGGAAAGGGGGGCAGCTGCAGAGCTGGGGAGTAGCAGGGGGTGCGGCGGGTCTGGGCGGAGCGGCATCAGCAGAGCCGTGGAACGGTAAAGGCACTGTGGGTCAGGACTGAGGGGAATCAGGACAGCTGCTGGGGGAGGTAGGGTGGGCACGGCAGGGGATGCTCGGAGTCAGGATTCCAGGGCATCAGCAGAGCTGGACTGGGGAAGTTTTGGTCCCCCACTGCTCTGCCATTCACCTGTTCGCTCTCAATGGCACCAAAACTCAAGCTCTCTTTGTGCCGCCACCACCACCGTGCAGCGCTGAGCCTCAGCCTCTCCCTATATCTCACCGTGACTTAAAAAAGAATCACTTTTAAACTAACGGGAACGGGAACAAAAGACTAAAACAGGCTCCAGGAGAGGAGATTAAGGAGGAACAATACCCCTCTCAATCTTCTTAAGCCTTTGGCAGGAGAAGAGAGAATCAAACACACGGGCCCGGTTTCAGTGCTCCCTGGATGGCACTCACCACCGGGTTTCTGGTTACAGAGGAGAACATGCCCATAGCCCTCGCTCGCCTGGGGCTGGGGTCGGGGGGAGAGGGGTTCAGATCACAGTTTTAGTGCAATCAATAACCTCTCCTGTCAGGGAAGTTTGGGTTTTTTTAATTTTTTCTTAACTCCTTTTGGTCTCGATGCACTAAAGCGCCCCACGGATTCTCAACCCGTTCAAAACACTAAGTGCCGCTCTGGCCTCGAACAGAAGGAGCCGACGGACCTCAACCCTGCCCTGCGGCGCTCACCCTGCCCTTCCGCTCTGAGCTCCCCGAGACCAACCATGTAACTAGCACAGATACGGACATTGCTGCAGTCCAGGGAAAATCACATTTACCTGCACCTCCAATGAGCCAAAGGTTGCAGACGTTCCCTGAACAGGGCAGCTACAGGGGATCCTACTACCCATTATTATTATTGAATCGCAAGCTCACACGGGCTGCTGCCAGCATGGTGGAGGTTTCCGGGGCCTTGCCTCCACTAGGGATTTCAGCCGTTGGTGATCAGCCACAGGGACAGCTGTCCCGGCCTAGCCAGGCAATGCTACTTTGCAGCAGAGAAGCGGTCACCGCTTAAGGGCAGGGTAAGTGACGTGGGTGCAAATTGAATCTCCCCGTTGACAGTAGGGGCTGCAGCCCCGTCGGTCAGTGAAACGGGGCTGGAATCCCCGTTCATCTGACTCTGTCCTAGGGCAGCAGCCTCCCTGTGTCAGGGCTAAGACTCCCCTCCCTTTTCTTCCCAGCCTGTGAGCACCAGAGGGGTTGCCGATTTTATGTAGCTTTCGAGGAAGCAGATGCTGTCCTGGGGGTTCTTTCGGGGGGATTCTTTTCCTGCCATTTCAGAAATTCGCCCCTCACTGAGTAGCACGACCCTAAAATGCCCAAGGACAAAGTAGGTCTGAGCCAGAGGGGAAGAGATGGCCAGGCACTCTCAGAAGGACTAAGCATTTACAGCACGGTCCGGTCGCTGGGGAGACGTGGTCAATTTCATGAGCACAGGTTTAAAACAAACACAAGGAAGTATTTCTTCACACAACGCACAGTTAACCTGTGGAACTCCTTGCCAGAGGATGCTGTGAAGGCCAAGACTATAACAGGATTCAAAAAAGAACTAGATAAGTTCATGGAGGATAGGGTCCATCAGTGGCTATTAGCCAAGATGGGCAGGGATGGTGTCCCTAGCCTCTGTTTGCCAGAGACTGGGAATGGGCGACAGGGAATGGATCACTTGATGGTTACCTGTTCTGTGCATTCCCTCTGGGGCACCTGGCATTGGCCACTGTCGGAAGACAGGATACTGGGCTGGATGGACCTCTGGTCTGTCCCAGTACGGCCGTTCTTATGCTCACTCATGTGACTGTCCCGCCTGGGCTGGACAGCTCCGTGGTGACTATACATGGATGCAATGCCTTGGCCAAGTGGGCTGGGCGGTTCTGGGCTGCTCCGTGGGGATGATGTGCCTCAGCCTGGCTCGGAGGTGCTCCACACAGGTGCCGCCCACGGGCTAGGAGCTCCATACCAAGCGGGAAATCAACACTTTTTATTTGCGCCTGCTGGGTGGTCCCTGCTGATCCATTTAAAAGGCCAACCACCTCCTCAAGTTATTTCCAATTAAATTCTCAACTGCTGCATAGCCCAGTTTGCCAGCTCCCCCTCATTAAACCTCACCAGCCTCGCACGCGGCCTAACTGGGCTTTAACCAATCAAAAGCCACGCAGGACGCACATACCCAGGCAGGACACTGCCCCGATGAGCTGAGATCTAAATGGGGGCAAGCCAAGCGCAGACAGGATGCCGGGAACAGCAGGGGATGCTGCAGGTGCAGAGCTGTGTGAGTGCACAGAACTGGATCCGCAGCGACTGCTACAGGCGGAGAACAAAGTGCACTGGCAGAGCTGGGTGGAGACCCCCCAGCTGGAATGGCAAGGGAAGGATTTTTAGGTCAGGGTTCTGGACCCAGGCACATCTAGGTGGAGGAAACTTGCCCAACATCTGAGCTACCCAGGACTGCTGGACCCCACCCCGCCCCACACACACACACCGAGCCAATCTGTCTGCTACTTTCAGAAGCACTAAATTCACACAAAACCAGCCTCTTCTCCCACCGCCATGAAGACTGCTTTTGGCGTTTGCTGCCATTATGCAGCTTCTGTTCAGGAGGCGGGGGGAGGGGAGTCATGAGGAGCGTTTGGCTGATGTAACCCGAGCAGACGTCTCCCAAGAGGATGCACAAAACACACTCTTCTCCAGAAGATGCAAAACGAGCCTTAATTGAAGCACTATTATTTAAACAGCAGGCACTGCAGCCCTTATGTGCAATTTTACTCCAGGCATCTGTAAGTAATGGGGATCGGGGGTGGGGGGTTAGAGTCAATGGTTAATAATGACACCACCTCCGCCGCCGGAAGCTGATTTTTCCATGGCAGCCCAGTGCGGCTTTCTTGTTCTGGGATCCGTCGCATGACCTTGGTCAAAAGTTCACCTGGGAAACGAGCATGGCGGCTGCACTGACAGCGGCTCGCTCTGCAGCTAGCAATGAAGCAGTGCTGCCATGAGTTAGGTACGTTCAGAGGGGACACGGCAGAAGCATGCAACATAATGAATGGGACAGGGAGCATTGATCAGAAACCAGCATGACCCGTTTGTCACGATACACGGACAAGGGGAAAGTCAATGAACTTGAAAAGCGGCCACGTCAGACCTGATCAAAAGGAAAGATTTCCCCCCCACATGATACATAATTAGCCGGTGGAACTCATTGCCACAAGATGTCACCGATGCCAAGAAGTTTAGCAGGATTAAATGGGTAGGAGGCATTGATAGGAGTAACAAGACTAGCCAGAGTTAGAATAGTACATATGAAAACACACACCAGACAAGAGTTTTGGAAGGATAATTAGTAGTAGTAGTATTGCAACACCTAGGAGCCCTAGTCATGGATCCCATTTTGCTAGGCACTGTACAAACACAGAACAAAAAACAGCCTGTGTCCCACACAGCTTATCATCTACATATAAAACAATAGACAAAGGTAGATACAGACTGACAGGGGAGTACAAGAAAACCATGAGATGGTGTTGGTCAGCAGGACAGGCTGTGGTCTCTGCACACCAGCAGACTAACCACTGTCAAGTTTCGTGTAGGCATCACGGAAAAGGAGGGTCTTAAGGAGGGTTCTGAAGGAGGCTAATTCATTAGTTTTGTGGATGTTTATGGGGAGCTCAACCCCAGCAAGAGGGACAGCACGGGGGACAGCACAAAGGTGTTACATTTTCAAACAAGCAAGTGGGCAGTGGAGGCTGGGATCCTGGACCGACCGGCGGTGGGACAGCGAATGAGAGATGGGGAAAGGCCATGCAGGACCTTGAAAGCGAAGACAAGCAGCTTATATTTTTGGTACGCTAGAGAAGGGGGAGCCAGTGGAGGGTTGCAAGGAGAGGGGGCGACACGGTCAAAGCGACAGGCCAGGCAAACAATCTTTGCAGCCGCATTCTGAAGGGATCTGAGCGCGACAGGACTGCATTGGTCAAGGCCAGAGAAAAGGATGTTGCAGTAATTGAGGTGCAAGATGGGGAAAGCCCGGATAAAGCCTCCTGCTGTGTGGCAGAAGCTCTCACGTGTGGGGTTTGGGAGTAGACTTTCCTTGGGAGCAGCTGAGACCGTAACTGCCAATTGCAAGGTCTGGATCTTTGATGTAACTGGTACCGATCACGGCCAG